AACTGTAACGTAGTACATGGGAATTTCAAACCCAGCCGATACCCTTTTTGGGTATGATCGAGGTGCGTCATTGCACGGCGTCGTCATTAATTCATTCCCGTTCACCACATCTCACATTCTCCTCCAATAAATATGTTTTTTCCACTGTTGTGCGCTGATCGAAGAACATGGCCATGGCCACTGGGTCATCAAGACCTTGTCGTGTTGCAGTCCGGCAGTACAAACCACATGAAGTCAACCGGCGTCTCCTTGCTCAGCATTGCAATGAACATCTTGGGAGGGAACCTTTTGAACTGAATTCACAGACCATCTTCGTGCAGTCTGCATTGACGAAGCTCACTGCGTTAGTCTCTGGGGTGGAAGCTTCCGTCCTGATTATGCTGAACTTGGCGTCCTTCGGGCATGTCTTCTGCCTCACGTTGTCATGATGATCGCATCTGCAACCTTGCCTGACCACATTTTGGATGACATCTGGCGCAGGCTCTTGATCACCAAGGATGCGCAGCTTGTGGCTCTAAGCAATGACCGCCCAAATGTTGCACTTTCTGTCTGAGTCATGAAGCATCCGGAGGAGTCCAAAGCCGACCTCAGATTTCTGATACCCAATGGCGCGAGTAGTCCCAAGGACATCCCTATCACCCTTGTTTATACCAATGAATGCAATGCGACTGAAGATATTGCTGACAAGCTTTGTCAGTGGGCAGGGGATGCAGGCTTTGAGGACCCCTCATCGTTTATTGTATTTTATCATGCAAAAATTGGAACGGCTCGAAAGCGAGAGATTGAAGAAGAGCTTAGGAAGGGGAATGTTCGTATAGCCATCTGTACTGATGCAGTTGGGATGGTATGCATTCCTATATTCATTTTTAAACTCGTAGGGAGCTCATATGCACTTTCCAGGGCTGTGATATGTGAAATATTGCACGGGTTCAGTACTTTACCCTCCCCCATGAGTTCCGGCGGACTCCAGCGGACTCCCATAGAATGTCGGAATTCCATCCGGAGTCTGCTGGAATGGTAGGAATCTCAAATTCCAGTGGATTCCGCTGGAATCTGAATGGAATTCCAATGGATTCTGCTGGAATCTGAATGGAATT